GGCCAAGGGGTGCAGAAGCTTTGATTTCAAAAGTTCCTGCAAACTCCTAAGTTAGACGAGAAAACACAAAGTTGAGACCAAGAAACACATTTTTCATGAAGCTGTTGCAGAACTGGAGAGCTCCTTCAGTGACAGACTGCTGCAGCCTAAATGCACCAAGGAGCGTTATCACAGATCCTTCCTCCCTGCAGCTGTAAGACATTATAACCACCACTGTTCACAACAACCTCAATAAGTTGTTGCAAATAATGTTGAATTTTGCGCAGTTTCTGTCTCAGTCAGTTACATAACATGCTGCGTTCATTTTTGCACATCTCTGGCGTTGCTGCTATTTTCAGATATACATTACCGTAAAAATGTCTACAGCCGTATAATGATGATTTATTCCTCAAATGCACAGTATTTATTTTTGTAAAAACACTTTACAGTAAAGTATTTCTTTTTATGTTTTTTACTGTCACTTATTCTATTATTTTTATTTACTTTTAAGTTCCACCTTTGCTATATTTTTGTTCTGCTGTAACACCACAATTTGCCCATTGTGGGGCAGTAAAGGGGTTTTCTATTCCATCTAAACTCACTAAACAGATACAAAGGGAAAACAGTAGTGCTGCAGACCACAAGGGGGAGACGATCATCACCTCCTATAGAACCAAAACACCGGCTGTATCAGAACGTCCGCCCTAACCTCTCAATCACTATATAGAGCAGGGACTTTATAGTGAACTCAATTAACTGACCATTCAGACAGATGATCACTACTTTTGATCGCGTGACTCTGGCTCCATGCACGGTGTCAGCGCCATTTTGTTCCTTCTTGACCCCAAAACAAATGCTATGGTGCTTTACTCTTGCAAAGCATTCTGGGATACATCTGCTCATCAAATGCACATGGATACACACTACTTTTCAACGTGCATTGAAAATTTTGAGTCCACTTCTTTTTCATATTGCCCTGTATAACCCTATATAAATACTCTATATAAGGGTTAGGGTGGATGTTCAGAGACAGGTATAGATATTACTATGAATCAATATCTATGAAACAGACTCTTAATAAGGACGTATATGGGAGGTCTTCCATACAACATGTGGAGGTAATACAGGTATGCTAAGTCTGAACACTAATGTTCTAACACTACATGCTGTTATGTTTCTGCATAGCTGTGTGCATATGAAGAATAAATAAATATATAGGGGTTAATCTCCAAAGGTTTAAAAAAAGCAGGAATAATGGGTTGTTATGTAGGCATCAAGGAAGAGAGCATTCCAATTTTGGCATTTTTGACACCCAAGAAGTGTTTTCTGTAAATGCACCATTTGGCTGTGTCACTTTAATTATGCAGCGCCAGTTTGCATCTTTCCTTACCTTTCAATAGTTTTTGCTACTTGCAGAATTTTGACTTTGCATGTATTTTGCTCCATATCACTTATATCACGTCTCTTCCAGATTACATGTGGACTCCAGTTAGATGCACCAGTTCTGTGTCAAACGCCCGGTTCATCTGACATGTTTTCTTGTTGCATATCTCTTAATGTAACAATGTCTACTTTGTGATACATGTCTATTCTTTGTTACAGACCTCTCTCTATTATGTCACACGCCTTTCTCATATAATACCTCTTTGCTTCCTCCCTCTTGTTTTTCTCCTTTCTCCTTCTGGTGGCCTCTTCCTCTGGATGTTTCTTCCCTGCAGTCGGCTTTTCCAGACGAGAACGAGGACACACTGTTGCTAAGATCCATCATCGATGTCAATCTGCCAAAGTTCCTGGCCCATGATCTGAAGCTTTTTGAGGTGTGTTGAGCTCACGTTCTCTTGATTAATGGAGCACTTCACTGTAGCTGATGTCAGTCCATGTTAATTCCTCCTGTTTCATCTTTAGTCTCTATGCACAAGGCCTATCTATCATGATTTGGATCAAAACAGTTCCCTTTGCTTATTCATTATTTGTTTGCATACACCCCCAACCCTTTCATCTCAAGGTGAATGTGCAGTGCGTATACAGCACCCTTTTCTGGCGTTTCTCCCCTGTAAATATGTTTAAATTGATTTTTTTTTTTTTTTGTAGCAGTCAAAATAAGGGTTGTGTTACATTAAACTTGTTTAGGCTGATTAGAGATTTGTAGGAACTTTTTCATGGTATTCCAAGGCCTCTTGTTCCACTATGATGTAGTAATACTACCAGATTATCTTAATCACAATTCTAAATCTGAGAGAAGAGAGATCAGGTCATTGAAAAGGCAGATGATCTTAACAGCTGCTTCTGGCCTAAACCAGGCTTTATAGAGTCAAAATAATACTTGGAACCAAATTAAACTTTGGCAAAGTGGACTGAATTACAGTCCAGGGTTTTACCCCACTCTAGCTGTGCCTATAGGAGGGAATTTTTGATTTTGGCCAACTCTTCCACACAGACCTTCTCTAGATCAGTCAGGTTTCTGGGCTGTTGCTAAGAAACATGGAGTTTGAGCTCCTTTCAAAGATCTGGAGACTCGCTACGCCACGCCAGAACCTGGATATACTTCTTCCAGAGCCACTCCTTGGCTATCCTGGCTGTGTGCTTCAGGTCTTGTTGGAAGACCCAGCCTCGATCCATCTTCAATGCTCTAAACGAGAGAAGGAGGATTTTCCCCAAAATCTCACAATGCATGGCCCCGGTCATCCTACCATACAGTGCAGTTGCCCTGTCCCATGTACAGAAAAACACCCCTTAAACATGATGCCACCAACCCCATGCATCACAATAGGGATGGTGTTCTTGAGATGGTACTCATCATTCTTTATCCGAACTTGGTTACTGGAATTATCACCAAAATGTTCTATTTTTGTTTCATCTGACCACATGACTCCACTGGATCATCCAAATGGGCATTGGCAAATTTAAGACAGGCCTTGGCATGTGCTGGTTTAAGCAGGGGAAACTTCTGTGCCATACATGATTTCAAACCATGTGTTTTAGTGTATTACCAACAGTAACCTTGGAAACAGAGGTCTCAGCTCTTTTCAGGTCATTGACCAGCTCCTCCTGTGTAGTTCTGGGCTGATTTCTCATTGAAACTCCTCAAGGTGAGAGCTTGCATGGAGCCCCAGTCTGATGGAGATTGACAGTCATGTAATAGCTTCTTCCATTTTCAAATGATTGCTCCAACAGTGGACAGTTTTTCAACAAGATGCTTGGCAATTTCCCCGTAGCATTTTCAAGCCGCTTGGAGGTGTACAATTTTGTCTCTAGTGTCTTTGGACAGCTCTTTGGTCTTGGCCATGTTAGTAGTTGGATTCTTTTTTTTTTTTAAGGCACTAGAGGCTCGTTTTTTTTTTAATGGGCAGTAGGCTGACAGGAAAGGGGGTATGAGAGAGGGGGAGAGATATGCGGGGACCACAGGCCGGATTCAAACATGGGTTCGCCCACATCGAGGACTAACGCTTCCATACATGGGTTGTGTGTGCTAACCACTGCGTCACCAAAGCACGCTCCAGTAGTTGGATTCGTACCGATTGTGTGGGATGGATTGTGCTCTTTATGCAGCTAACAACCTCAAACAAGTGAATCTAATTTAGGATAAAAAATGGAGTGCAGGTGGACATTTTGAAGTAGGACTAACAGGTCTTTGAGGGTCAGAATTCTAGCTGATAAACAGGTGGTCTGGGTGAAATCGGTTCATGTGGGGTCTGCTGTGCTTGTCTGATGTTTGGAGATAACCCACTGTATGACTTAAACCGGGCATGCACTGTGAGATATTTTCAATGGTAGCACGCATTTATAACTCAAACTGTACCACAAAACCGCAGGGTTTACAAGTTCACGGCTCATGATGCATGTTCTCACACTGTACGACCTGACGCTCTGATGCGATCTACCTGCTCACACTGCACGTCTAAAAACCCCCCGTCGGACTCACCGCTGAGAGATGGTGCTGGTCAAATTCATCAATCTGGAAGAAGAAGAAGGAACTCCTTTGTTTGTACATGCGCAGTGTTCTAGGTTCTGGTAAATTGGCTCGTAGCTCTAATTCAACAGCAGGATTTGTCCACGATCACCTCACGATGTTCGACTGAAATTCAAACATGTTTGATTTTCTGCTGACCTTATGGTTCCTGATCAGGATGTGGTCGTGAGAGGCTGATCGCCCCTCGTTACCCCCGTATACACGCGACACAGGACACACCATGAGGCTGAAAGTTGGCCCAATCGAAAAAATTCTCGCACGACTGGAAAATCGGCCTGAAAAGTGCAAGAACTCATGCAGTGTATGCCCAGCTTTAAACTCTTCTAACCCTGATTTTTTTAAACATTACATGTGGGACATTTAAAATTTTAAAACAGATGAAACAGCGAAAGCTCTAAAACCTGCAGGACAGCAGCCCTCGGGGGCTGATTTTAGACATGCCTGGAGGAGAGCTCTGTAATAAAATAGCTTCTCAACAATGTTTTAAGCAAGTTATCACCCAAAATAATTGTGTCACCACAAAAAATGAAATACAAACAAGTAAATTTGCCTTGAAGTAAGTTTATTTTTCCTTGATTTGTGGAGATAAGACAATTTAAAAATTTTATATTATCTGTGTTTGTATTAGGAAAAAAGAATCATATTTTAAGGGCAAAGTACTAATTCCTGTGGCAGATCATCCTAAATTGCTCAAATTAAGGACAAATATATATATATTAAAATTTTACTTGTTCTTAGATCAGTTTTTGCAATGTGTTTGTCTAACAGCATAGTGAAATTTAAGGAATCATTTAATGAATCATTTCTTTACATACAGTGCAATATATAACAAATTAAATACGTTTAATATGCTGGTTTATGATCTATTTACAATGTCTGTTAAAATATATATAACTAAAGTCAACCTGCTGTTTTTTTCCCTCTTGGCACCATCTATCCTTTAAAACGATCAATGCAAGTGTTTTGTTTATTCCCTGCCTAAATAAAAATGTTCTGTCATAAATATCTCTTTTATCCCAGGGTATTACCTCTGATCTCTTCCCGGGTGTTAAAGTCCCAGAACGGGACTATCACATTCTCATGGAAGCCATTAAGGAAACCTGCCAGCTCATGAACCTTCAACTGAACAAGTTCTTCACTGAGAAAATCCTGCAGATCTACGAGATGATGATCGTAAGGCACGGCTTCATGATAGTTGGTGAACCATTTGGAGGGAAAACCAGTGCCTACCGTGTGTTGGCTGCAGCTCTTTGTGACATCTTTGAAAAGGTATGATGCTGTTTCAGTAGCGGGTGGAGAAAAAAGGGTGTCATTGGAATGTTTATAACTTTCTCTGAAGCTCTAAACGATCAAATGTTGTACATAAATGCGTTACAATGAATTTCCAGTCAAGAAGCTCCTGAATCTTTCAAACATCAAATTATTGATTCCTAAAACTTCAGAACAAAGGCATTCCAAAAAAGTTAAAAAACAATCCGCCGGACTTTGTTTCCAAGTTTGATTCTAAGGCTTAGAAAACCTACACAACCATGCAGGGAACAAAAACATCTTGCCTGGTCAGCCAGACCAACAATTGCCCCTAACGACCTCCCTTGCATGGACCAGTATAGGGTAGTGCAAGCTAACAAAGAACCCAAATGATTCCCCTTTCCTAAGGGGCGGACCCATTCTTCTCGTTCAGTTTGCATGTTTTCTAGGCCAAAACAAGTTTTTGGGCAATATAAAGCCTGGAACTCAATGCTAACTCTGACATTTTGAATTGAAAAGCCTCCTGGATGGGAAGTGTTAGGTTAAAAAATGTAGGTTCGTAAAAGAGGGACTGAGTCCAAACAGAAAGGGATTTTCAACAGCTTCTGCAGAAGGAGAAAGAGCTACACCCAACTCACTAACCCTCTCTGACGGACCTCCTCTGCAGAGCCTTTTTATTAACAGATCATAACACATGGGGTGGGTTACAAAACAGAATATTCTTCTGACAGGACAATTGATCAGGTCATCAGACAGAATGCTCCACTGACTGAATCACAAGACAGAGTGAAGCTTCTCCTTTCTTCAATGTTTCATATGCACACACATTAATTTTATAATCATCATTGAATAAACCTAACAGGAAAGCTAAATGTCTTCAGACTTGGAAACAAAGTCCAGTGGAATGTTTTTTTTTTCCTTTTTGGAATGACTATGACCTGGATGACTGAGAATCTTCACCAGAACTCAGAATAAAGTGTTACAAATAATACCTGAAGCCTGCATTTGAAACATTTTTTTTTCTCAAATAAAAACATTTGCTAAGCACAAAAAGAAGCAGATCCGGCCCATTGGACTTACATGGTTAGGTGGAGGAGACAGATAAAGGGCTGCTGAGAAACACTACATTAATCATTACCCCTGTTGTCATTTCCAGTTCCACCTCTTCCATCTCATTACTATCTTTGTGTTCCAGACTGTGTCCTAATCTTAGTTTCAGTTTATGCTGCTTTCCACAGCAGCATAGTGTTTTCACAGCAAGAGTTAACCAAGTAACTTGCAGATTAACAGGACTGTTGTAGGAATCTGCTGTTGCTCCTTTTTCTGTCTTTTTGTTTTCAGGTTATGATGCTCTATCTATGTAAAAACATCTTTCGTTACTTTAGGGTCTGATGGATGAGAACAAGGTCCAGATTACAGTAATAAACCCCAAATCTATAACCATGGGAGAGCTGTACGGCCGCTTTGACCCCATCACTCATGAGTGGTCCGATGGCATCCTGGCTATCAGCTACCGAAACTTCGCCTTGTCCAAGGTAAAACCGGCTCATCCTAGCAATGCTGTGGGCAATGCTGGACCCTCTTATTTAAGTAACCTACTTAAACATCTCTTATGTACATAAAGCCAGGGAAACATCCCCCCAAAAATGCTTTAAAACAATATATTGTATGAATTATAATTAATTGCTGTTTCTATTTGAACTGAATGTTCTTCTAAGACAAAGACATTCTAGATAACTGGTAAATAGCCTGTACTTATTTAGCGCTTTTTCAAGTCAGGAGACTTAACCAAAGCGCTTTACACTACATTCAGTCATTCACCTGTTCACGCACACACTCACGGTGGCAAGCTACATTGTAGCCACAGCTGCCCTGGGACTCACTGACAGAAGCGAGGCTGCCATAAACTGGCGCCACCGGGCCCTCTGACCACCATCAGTAGACAATGCAAGTGAAGTGGATTGCCCAAAGACACAACGACACTGAAAGCTGGGGCTTGAAACAACAATCCTTCAATTTCAGGGCAAACTCCTACACCCGACGCCACTTTCACCCCAAATAAAGGCTGAGTTAAAAAAAATATTCCACTAAATAAACAAAAGCAGACAAATTCAGAAAGACAGTTTAAATGCAGGATTCTTTCTATGCTCACTTGTCGCAAAATTTAAAGCAGCAAGTGTTGTGCCAGGCAGCAATCTCCCATAAAGAGATCCAAACCTATAACTTTGGTTTGCTGCTTCTCTATGCTAAAGATGGCTAAATTACTCAACACAAAGTCTTTGTAGAGTGGCTCTCCACCCAGATTTGTTTTAGTATCATTTTTACATTTTCTGTGATGCCTGAAGGCCGCCAAGCTCTGATTGCAAATGTTTGCTGGCGGTAAACGATCAGCCAACGATTCTGTCAGGCAGAGTACAGCAGCGAGGGAGAATCAGTCGATGCATCACACAGTATGATTCCTTTATAATGAGCAATTCAGAACTGAATCACACCGAGCCTGAGCAGCTGCTGCTGAATTTTTACCATTTCCACCAAAGCCACCACAGCCCCACAAGGAGAATGGGCTGATCTCCAACTCCACATCAGAGCAGGATAGATTATTGTTTGAAACAGTTGACATTTTAATTAAAAAGAATCTGGGTGAAAGAACGTCTGCTATGACGGCTGAACAATAGAAACGTTTGGTTGTCTTGTTAAAATTTGATCTTTAACAACTCTTTCATTTGCCAGATCTGCAGGGTAGGCAGGCGCTTTGCAGATTGTGGTGGAGATGATGGAAAATCATTTCCTTGCTCTCTTCATGAATTGTTCTCGAATGAACTTGTCACTTAAAAAGAATTTTCTGATATTTGGTTGTCATTTTTGCAACTTGTTCTTTGTTTCAGGCAGGATGACGAGCAACTGCTCTTACCGTTGGAACAAAAACATAAAAGAAAAAATCTTTCTAAAGTCATTTAAAAAAATTTAATTTTCCCCTACTAAGAGAAATCTGTGTTTGCTTTCACTGACTGCAGCATCTTTTTCCTAAATTGTTTAACGTCTGTTTATCTGGAGTCAGAAGCAGCAGTGAGTTATATTCCTTATATGCAGACTTTTTGTTAGATTATCGTATCACAACATACTGTAATCACGTCTCTCTCCAGCCCCAGATGGCCCAGTGCTGCCAAGCCCATTTGTTTAAATTATAACCCATTAATTTAAGGTGCCGTTCTTGTCTGGCAGAGAATCAACCACTCCTGTCAGCTCCTATTATCTCTCATTAGGTGTGCGTTTCCATCCGTCAGCAAACAGCCATCGCCTTGTTTAGAATTCACAGGAGGTAAAATGTGTGTTTGAAAGTCTGCACGGCCATTCCTGTTTGAGAAAGAGCGGGGAAGGTTTGATGGTAATGAAAGACTGGAGCCCCACCTTGTTGGATATGCATCATTCTCCAGAGCTGTAGAAGTCAAATTACACTGATAAGCTCTTTAAAAGTTGACACTTAAGCTCAAAAACTCAGTCTTTAGCAGAAATAACATTGGGGTAAAAATACATAGTCCATAAAACATTTAACCTTTAATCATTGAGGCTCTCATGCGGCTCCTCATTGGCTGACCCTTACTATCCGATTAGTCATAGGTCCCAATGAATATTTACTTAAGAAGTTTCTTCTCAACCAGACTTTTTATAGACATCAAAAACTTCTTCCATCATGTTGGTTGGATGTTTGACCACTCCTCTTGGCTTAATTGGAAGATCCCATTCAAACTGGTTGATTTTAATGCAACAGTACCTTCAGTTGGAGGGCGGTCCCACAGCATGATGCTACCATCTCCCTGTCTGACAGTTGTTTCTGAGCTTTGAAAGCTTCCCATTGATAAACGGACACCACATTTCACGAGGAAGAAGAAAACACAGTCGTTTAGAACTTTATCAAAGCCTTTCAAGAGCGACAGTCATTTCTTTCCTGGAGTTTTTCCACAATTTGTTGATAGTGGTGATATTTATGGCCAAAATCACCAAAGGTCTCCAAATGCTTACATCTGCGAACCCTCACACGGATCCCTAGTTACTCCGTGTAGAAATTTTCTTCAGAAGGGCATAAAAGGAAAAATTGACGTAATTGGGCCTGGAAAATGTGTCAAGCATAAACCAAACCTAACTCCTTGCAGATTCAAGACCAGCATGAAGGAGTCACCGTAAGTTTTTTACCTTCTTTCTTCAGCCTGCTTTATGGTTAATGCGTCCGTGAGCCTCTTAATCTGGAATCCGCATGGCCAGAATTACCTCACTGTGCATCTACGAAAATTTGTAACTACATGGACAGCTCTGTGCAGAAAAAACATGGTGGACAGACAACAGTACCGGTGAGGCTTTGCAAAAATTTGTGGTGGACGAACAGTGGCTGTCTAGTTCACCATTAGCTCAAGTAATAAGTCACCCATCCTGCAAACAGGAAGCCTGGGTTTGTATCCTAGCTGGGGGGAATGAGCTGCTAGTGTGAGTCCTTAGGCAAGACCCTTCATGCTAATGCCTGCTTTGGGTGAAGATGGCCTAGTGGTTAGGGCATTGTGCTGGGATTCTTAGGCTTTGAGTTCCAGCCCCACTCCCACGGACTGCCACTCTGGGTCCCTGAGTAAGACCCTTAACCCCACACGGCTCCCCAGGTGCCACACAATGGCACCCCACTGCTCCCCAAGGGAATGGGTTATATGCAGAGAGTTAATTTCGGTCCTCTGTACTTGTGACAATGTAATGATGATAAATACGCTGGGGAAAAAAATAACATACAGAGACATGTTATGATTTAGCCCATAAATGTTACCACTATCAACAGACTGATAAAAAGTATCGGAAAGAAACTATAGTCAGTCTTGGATTCTAGGAAGAGACTTTGAAAACCTTGGACACAGCTGCATTTTCTGCTTCTACGTTTAATGTTGTGTTGCAAGCTTGCAATGTGCGCTGTATATGCTCCCCTGGAGACATTGTGTTTGTCAAGAAAAACATAAGTGCATCAAGCATAACCAAGCCTTTAGTTGCAAAATTCTGGTATGGGGTGTTGAACTGGTTTCACTATGGATGTTACACTGGTATTCTAGCAGTTTCCATTTTATGGCAAGCATGTGCCTATTTTGTTCCTTTATGTTTCTGATTATCATAATTCCCTTCAGTCTTACTGAAGGAGTAACAACACACCCAAGCAAACTAGTAAGTTCAGCCAGTCAACTAAAACTCTCCTGCTAGGTTCCACATGAAGAACCTCCAGCTGACCTCCATGTCCACCCTATGGGCTCCGAAATCAAACACATGCTCTTCATATCCTTCTGAGATCTTACCCTAGTTTCTTGAAGTATCCCATTATTCTGGGCGCAACAACCTGCTGTCGCAAATTATTTAAAAAAAATAAGCTGCCATAAGCTCAATCATAGTCACTGACCAGAAGTGGAACGCCTTGTCCAGTAAAATAACTTTATAGAACCCCCAGAGCAGGTATTAAAATGTTTTGGAAATGCCTTTGAGCTTGTTTGTATAGGTTTGACCCTTTGTGATCTAAATAAAGCTCAGGAAGCATTCCTCTAGTTGACTCCAATAAATCACAGTGCTTATGGTGTTACAAGCTGAAGTTGAAGTCTCCTCTCTTTTCCATTAGAGCCCTGACAGGAAATGGCTGGTCTTCGATGGTCCAGTCGATGCAGTGTGGATCGAGAACATGAACACAGTGCTGGATGACAACAAGAAGTTGTGTCTGATGAGTGGGGAAATTATTCAGATGTCGCCTCAAATGAACCTCATCTTTGAGCCGATGGATCTGGAGGTGGCATCTCCAGCCACGGTGAGAATTACATTTACTGGGGATGCAGGTTTTATCTGTGTTCACTCGAAGCACATTATGCCTTGTGGTCATGCAAACTGCAGTTTTTTTAAGTTAATTTAAATAATATTTCTGTTAAGTTGCAAATCGCTGTTGAAAACCTCCAGCAATTGCATAAGCTAAACAAATGTATGGTTATTTTGTAGCTTTATTAAGGCCGTTCAGGTATTTGGTTTCTCTGTAGACCTCAGTAGTTCAGGTTATATGAACTACTTTTGGTAATCTACATTCTTTTAAAAGGATCATTTCCCATAATGGCCATTTGTGATACTTAGAAACTGATATTTACTTCACAAATTAAATATCCTTTGTTATATTTTTCATCAATGGAGGTCACCATTTTTTTCACCTGCGTACCCATGCATGCTGGGTAGATGACACGATTAGACCTGGAAAGGCTGAATGACACGGTTAGGTCTTGAAACTACTGAATGAACACAGTACGGCTAGCATTAACAGAGTTGTTTTCTACTGCATTACATTTGACTAGTGTAAATTTAGACAACGCCACACGGCGTCGCAGCCTATTCTGATTGGCTTGTGATCTATGGTTTACTATATTAGCTAGAGCTAACACCATTAGGAGAAGCTAATGTAAAATAAAAATCAAATAGTGAAATAATAAATAACTGTTTAAGGTGACAGGAAAGCATCTATAAGTTGTCGTAATACATCATTCTAATATCCTGGAGTCTATTGTTACAACCTACCTTTAGATCCCTTAAAGCACTTTTCCTTTCACTCCTGTCTTTGAATTTCTTTGACACCTTGGTGTTGTATCTTCAATCATTCTTGTGTTAAGCAGGAGTACCTGGAATACCTTAAGCAAGTGGAGAACATGCCTGGTGTAGGTACCAGATCGGCTCGGGTACCCCCTCTTATGATGTCAACATATGGCAACTCCACTCGGGCAAACTGTATTGCACCCGTTTCTTGAGGATCAGATCTCTTTTGTAGTCTTAACAAAATATTACCTATATTTACTATTATTTTACATTTCATTGGCGGTCTAACGTAGCCAACAGTATAAAGCAATCATTGTCAATCTTGAAGAACGTAATGCCTTCTAAGACAGACTGAGCTCTGCCATTTAACAAGGTGACTGTTGGGTTCAAAAATGTAGGTTTGTAAAAGAAGAACTGAAATACACAGTAAGGGATTTTCAAACACAGCTTCCTGCAGGAAGGGGAGACAGAGCTGCACCCAACACTCTCTCTCCCTCGGACCTCCTCTGCAGAGCGCTTTATGAACAGAACATAACACATGGTTACAAACAGAGTATTGTTCTGACAGGACAGTTGATCAGGTCATAAGCCAGGATGCTCCACGACTGAATCACAAGACAAAGTGAAGCATCTACTTGCTCAAATGTTTCATAAGCACACACAGACATTAATTTTAATATCATCGTTGAATAAACCTAACAGTGACAAAAAATGTCTCAGCTTATTTTCATTCTTTTGATTATGATCTGAGGACAGAGGAGGACAATTGGAACATCATAAAAATTACTTTTGTAGAGATTTTAGACAAATAAAACAGTTATTCTACTTGTAGAAAACATTGTTTTTGACACAAATTTAAAAGTAGTGAAGCTTAATGTGGCTAACTGACCAAGCTAATAGAGACTAACCTGTTAGCTACTGAACACAGCTAGCCACAGTGTTTAACAGCTCTCCCCCTTTATATCTTGTAGTTACTTTTATGTTGTTGTTATCGATCAGGTAAAACTTAATCGGTCATTAGACACACTAAAGCTACAGATGCTCCCGACTCTGCACTGATGCTGCGTGATGTTATTATAGTTGTCTGGATAACCACAATGTTTTACATCATGTGGCAATGTTCACCCGATCATGTAGCGTAGGGTCACTTGCATGAAACAGGATCCATGCAGATCTGATACTTACACTGGCCTGAAATCTAACCCGGATCCTTCTTGCTAAAAGGCAACAGTGCTACACATTGTTCCACCATACAGCCCATCGTTCTAATATATCTGAATAAATGTTTTGATCTCCATGCTAAGTGTAAAAAAGCCTTGGTTGGAAACTGGAAGTCTTTGTGGCATAGCTGGGTTAGCATCCCTTAGCAGCAGCCGCACAAACACCAGCTTCTTCAGCCAACTCTACTGTAACCTTCTTTCACCATTTGGTCCTCCTCATCCCCGCCACCTCTGATTTCTACATTCTTATCAATTTACTAACCTGACACCGCCAGATGGATTTGCTCCGCATATCCATCTGGAAACCTTCAGTTGAACTAATTTTGGGAAGGGGCGAAAATACTGGTTAGCTGATTGGCCTATGTTGGTGATAGACGGGC